CAGATGAAAACTAACTTGAGGTGGAAATACTTTTGCAGTGTGGTACAAAGAAAAGACTCACCTTAGCCTTCCCTTGGAGAAGAGATGGGGGCAGGAGATGAGGTGGCAGATGGGTTAGTATGATTCTTCGGGAAGGCAGCTTCTTCATCCTCTTTAAAGCAAGTGGGAGAAATGGGACAGAATAGAAGTAACTTACTCAGGAATCATGGGTAATAAGTAAAGGGGAAACCAGAGAAGGATCTTTCCCCTTAGGAAATCTCAGGGATATGCTGATGGTGTTGGCTTCTGCTAGCCTCTGCTACAGAGCTGCATTTCACATGAGACAGGCCTGAGAATTAAAGCTACTGGTACCAGGACTGAACCCCCTCGAGTGTCCTCACAACTTGCTGGTCCTGTGTAGCATTTGCACTGGGACACTAGAGGCAATAGGACATGCTGGCCGTGCTGACCTTTACACTTGTAACTGCTCTAAAACTGTCTATTGCTTCTGAGATAAGGCCATTGTTTTTCAACAGTTAGTACCTGTAGAAAAAGTATTACCAATATTCTTTCAATAACTACTCACCTCAAATACTCCAGGATCTCCAAACTCTAGACGTGGAAACATCTGTAGCTCTTTTTCAGCATTTATTCTCTCTTTCATTTCTTCTTCAGTATATTTAGCATCTGTTGATTCCATCTCTCTCACCATTTGTTCAAGCCAGTTGGTTCCTGAAACAATAAATACTCCAATAGCAAAACCAGTCTGGGCTGCACATCTGCACTTTTTCCTGTCAACTGAATTGCAGAATATCTTGTCAAACTGGTTCACATCTATGAAGCAGGGCACCTTATCCTTTCAACATATGGGCAGTAATAATCAGAACATGCCAAAATCCATGAGGAGCAGAACTGTCAGCCAAATGTGTAATGCTACCCTGCTCACTTCAGAAACACATCCCATCCCTCAGAGGTAACAGAAGCAGACCTCTATTGCTATTTACAGCTCTGACACTCTTTTGTCATCTCAGAATACTCCTAAGGAAAATAACAGCAGTGTTGCTCCCAGCATAGGGCTGTTCTACTTCTACAGCATTGCCTTTGGGATTACCCTGTTCCCTCCTCCTGATTAGCTTCAGTTTTCAGTTTGTTCACAGCCAACAAATTTTGGCCTCATTCTCAGTCTCCAGGAAGGTAGGAGAAGGATTAATTGACCAAATCAAAAGACCATCAAGGTATGTCATTATTTTTGCACTAGGCTCAGCTGTCTTGACTTCTGCAATCTGGTACAGGTGGAATATGAAGCACGCACTGGTCTTGAAGATCCAAGTCTCAGTTTTCATTTTACATCTTCTGGAATGCATTACTGGACATTTTTGCTTGTATGCAGCTCTACAAACTGCATACAAAGAGAACGTTATAAACATCATCAGCTCCTTTTTCTGCATTTGACCTGTTCAGATATCTCTGTGAAGTGATTAAGCACAAACAGAAAGGAAACCAAAATGCCTGTGTGGAAGGGAGAGGGAAAAAATCAAGAATCCTGGTAGCATTTATGCCTTTCCATCCAGTTAGATACATGGGAATCACATGGGAATCACTTATATTGTGTAATGCAGTAAGTCCATGGGAATTACAGTTCTTCTACCTTTATTTCTAGAAAACAGTTCCTGTATTGCCTTTGTAGAAAGTAGGGTAACAACATACTGTCCTGCATTAGCAAGATAGTCAAGCAAGATTGCATTACCAAGTTAGAAAATCAAGAAATGTGATTATTCTGCATTAATTCAACACTGGTAATTTTACTACTTGTATACAATGTGCAGTCACACACTGAAGTACAGGAGATTTTAAGTATCTGGGGAGGAGCCTGCTTAAAGCTGCTGAAATCATCGGGACCTGCAGTGAATGAAACACATCTTGCTACAGTCTTCTTCTATTGGAGGTAATAGTGAACACGAAGCTAACTCTTCTGAGAATAGGCCAAGACAATAGGAAAATGTTCAAATCACAAGGGGATGTCTGACTGCACAAAAGTTACGTAAAACAAAACAAAACTCTGTAGTGGAAGAACTCAGATATTACTCAGATATTATTGCTGTGCTAAATGATGGTACACACTACAGGATTACAGCATAGTGCATCAAGTATTAATCAAGCAAGCAACACTTACCTGTTTTAGGATAGCCTGCTAGAATCACATCACTGCTCCTGGTTTCAAAGGATTTCAGAGCTTCCAAAGTTTCTGGACTGCTAAGCACAGCAGGATACAGAATATCATCATAGGAAAACAGCAGATCTTCTGGGGAAGTCTTTTCATTCTCTGAAAAAACATTTTCCATAATTTCAATGACTCTTTCCCTATTTCTGCTCATGTTTATAACCCTGTGAAGCTTTTCTCAAGCAGAGATACAAACTGTCTTTTCACAGTGCAAGAGAACTTTATACAGTGTGTTAGGAAACTGGAAAGGGCATTCGCTCAGAAATGAAGATACACATCACTCATTAACTCAATTTGAACTGTTATCCCCTTTCAAAATAACAGGACAGGAGACAAATAGCAGTGACACGGAGTCACTACCATGCCTGAAAATACCAAGAGTTCTTTACAAAGCATTACTGCTAGGGAAGCAACAGCAATATTGGTAGCATTCAAAACATTGAATGAAATAAGGGAAGGACCTACAAAGGTCATAAAATACTGCTTAAAATATTTTTAACAGCTGAGCTATGCAATGCGATTTCTGAACAGAATGACCAGCATATAGTAGTTACGTAGATAGTAGATCTTAATCTGATTTGCTACTACTCCACTAATGAATGCAACTTTCTTCCAGGTGGTGGCTCTATTTTCAGTCAATCATTGTAACATCATTGCTTTATGTTATATATTGAGAGCTAAAGTCAAGTACCACCTAAATCATACTTCTCATGATTAAATAATCACATCTGAGATCTTTTACTTCACCATTTCCTACAGGAAGATTGCTTTCATGTGAAACTCACATACTTTTGTTCTACAACTACATTAGTCAAATTCATCTGTATGTCATCAATTCTATTTCTTTCTATACCTGTCAATAGTTCAATCTTTGGTTGAAATTGTTCTTACATGGGGGGAAGTTATTTGAATCCTGGCTCATGCCTCTTCAGAATACCTAAGAAGTAGTATTTCCTAATGTCCAGCCTGAATCTCCCCTGGAGCAACTTGAGGCCATCCCTTTAGCCCTATCACTAGTTACACAAGAGGAGAGGCTGACCCCCAGCTCACTACAACCTCCCTTCAGGTAGTTATGGAGAGTGATAAGGTGTCCCCCAAGCCTCCTCCAGACTAAGCAACCCCAGCTCCCTCAGCCACTCCTCAAAAGGCCTTCCCAGGGGTCGTCGCCCTTCTCTTGACATGCTCCAGGGTCTCAATGTCTTTATTGCAGTGAGAGGCCCAAAAGTGAGCACAGTACTCGAGGTGCAGCCTCACCAGAGCTGAGTACAGGGGAACAATTATTTCCCTGCTCCTGCTGGCAACACTATATCCGATGCAAGCCAGGATGCCATTGGCCTTCTTGGTCACCTGGGCACACTACTGGATCACATTCAGCCAACCTTCAATCAATGCCTCCAGGTCCATTTCCGCTACACAGACACTCTGCTCCAAGCCTGTATCATTGGCTGGCATTCTTGTGGCCAAAGTGCAGGATCCGGCACTTAGTCTTGTTGAATTTCACCCCTTTTGTTCCAGTCCAGCAATTCAGCCTGTCCAGATCCCTCCATAGGGCCTCACTATCCCCTTGCAGATTGACACTTCCAGCCAACTTGGTGTAGTCTGCAAACTTACTGAGGTACAGTCAATGCCCTCATCCAGGTCGTCAATAAAGATATTGAAGAGGACAGGCCCCAGCACCAACCAGCAGAAAACTACTCATGACCGATTGCCAGCTGAATTTAACTCCATTCACCACCACTCCGTGAGCCCAGCCTTCCAGACAGCTCCTTACCAGCAAAGAGTGTACCTGTCCAAGCCATGGGCTGCCAGCTTCCCCAGGAGACTGTGTTGAAGGAGTCTTGCTCCAATTTATAGGAAGGAGAGTAGTTCAAGCTGGGCTTTTGCCTTTCTAATTTTGCCCCTGCACATCCTAACAACATCTTTGTACTCCCTCCAAGTTGCCTGTCCTTTCTTCTACAGGAGGCAGATTCTCTTTTTCTCCTGGAGCCTCAGAAAAAGCTCCCTGTTTATCCACGCCTGTCTTCTTTCCCAACAGCTCATCTTATAGCTCAGGGAGTTACCCTGTTAGCCTGTTAGCTGTTAGCCTGTTAGTTCCTCCGCCTTTAAGACTTCCTTCTTGAGGAGCAACCAACCTTCCTGGAGCCCTTTACCCTCCAAGAGTAAATCCCATGGGATCCTCCATGCTAGTTTCCCAAGCAAAGTATTATAAATTATTATTTCTAGCATTCCTGTGCCTTTGCAAAACTCTGCATTACTATTCATGTGCGGGCAACCTTGAGTATCTTTAAAAGAATATAGAAAAAACTTATTGAACATTTTATTCTTTCCTATTGCATCTGTAATTTTTACTTCTTAGGTGATGTATCTATATATTGCTTGGGTCCCTATCACCTTTTTTTTTAAATTTCAACTATTCTTAAAGAGCCTTCTTTTGTTGTTGTTTTTTTCCTCTTCACAGAACAAGTGGCTGAAGTGCAGATGGACCTTGAGCAGGTCTGAAATATTGTGTTTGCAGTATCAAATATCAGTGCTGACACAAAATAACTGAATACTGTAACGTCTTCCACAATCCCGAGAACAATCCCATATGCTTATTAGAGCCACTTACAAGGCATTTTGGCATTTTTGGAGAATTTTCAGTTATGAAAATTAATCTATTTCAATTTATAGGCATTAATTTAAATTAAAGCTTAAATGTAGACCTGTTGCTAAATCAAGAATGAACAAAGGGAATGCTAAGTATGGTTCTGTGGTTAAGAGCACTCCACTGGCTTTAACGGCAGGAAACATAATTCAGGTCTATATTCTCTACCTCTTTTGCTTTATTGTTGTCTGTAGCAGGGAAAACAACAGCAGTTCTTAGAAGAAGCACAAAGGTCTATAGATTAAGGAGTATCTTCAAACACAAGAAAAAAACATCGACCCCGTGATTTTCTTTTTACCAACTTTTATGCAGGTAGAAACATTGTTTCCAGTGAACCAAGAGAAAATGTATATGATATAAGAATGAAAATTAATTTGAGATTTTTGTTCTGTTCCACAAAGAGAATTATTATACATAAAAATGCTTCTCATTGCATCTTGGCTGTTAATACCAATCTGTAATCTGAATTTCAGCTTGAAACTCTAGACTCAGATTAAAGTCCTTAAAAATGATGATTGCCATTCCCTTTCATTATCTTCCCTCTAGTTTTTATCCAGTTTGTGCTGAAGTCACAGGGAAGATATTCTTCTTCATCGTTAATTAAGGCTATGTCAGACATGTATTTAGATAGTGATCTTAATTGTGGAGATCTTGCAAGATTGCAAGATTGTCACCTGATCTGAGCATTTTTGGAAGAAAAGAAAAAAAAAAAAGAAAGAAGAAAAAAAAAAAAAAAAAGAGATCTCCACATGCTAAATAACCCTATGTAAATTATCTAGAATGACTGAGTTTGCCTGGAAAGCGAAAAAGTCCATTTCCTTCCATGTGGCAGCTACTGAAACAAGCCTGTCAAGTTGATCTGAATATAGTTAGTTACCATCATACTCAGCAAATGAATGTAGCCAAAGCAAGATCTCACATTTATTTTAAAAAGCCAGCTATTCATTGTTGTCATTGTAAAAGTTCCTGCAAGGTGACTTTTACAATGATTCTGAGATGCTTTGATTGTTTCATTTAGCTTTTTATTGTATATCATTCAGATGATCAAAGAGCACAGTGAAAAGCTATTGGTCTAACCACATTTCATTACTCTTCAGGCTTTGCAGTACACTTCATACTTTAATTTTGCTCCTAGTTTCATTCGTGCTATACGTTCTGCAAATACTTTGTCCATTTTCTCATTCTGCTCTTCATTGAAAAGATTCTTCCAGTCACTTACACCACCTTCAAAGAAGCAAATAAACTCTTGAAAAACAAGAAATCATATTTCTCACATAAAGTGTAACACTTTATAATATATGGGCCAAAAATAAGCCAGTGATGAATGGCTTAGGTTCTTGAGAGTATCATGTTTCTGCCTCTGGACATCTAGAATCTCCTTACCTTTGCGAAAGAGCATGCTGCCCAGAGCCCCGTGGGTCTTCAGAGAGTTCTCCTTCATGGACTGGAAACTGCTTCTCTCTACCACACTCCGAAGCTCTTCCCCAGTCAGGGAAATCCCAAGGAAAGAGGCAATGTTTTTCACTCCCAGGGCTCGATTCTAAAAAGAGGAATGTAAGATACCATATGACATTCAAACAAATTACACTGCTTTCTTACCAAAGCTCTTTCAAGGCCCAGCATCTCTCAGTTGGCTGCATATTTAGAGTTTTCAGTGTTCAGCAGGACTGGAGTGCTATGTATTGTTTCTCTTTGTTATTCTAAAGAAAACATCATCTGTCTTCCTGAATATCACAGAAAATTGCATATGATTTACAGTTGAGCCAAATCTACACTGCTGAATATACAAAAGCTCCAAAGAAGAATTACTGGGGATTTTGACTTAAAATCACGGGCAAGAATTATGTTTACACACACACACAAAGGCTTACAAGCTAGAAATCCACCTTGCTGTCCTCTAAAACAAGAATCTGACTCATACATGTATCATGCAGTTTTTATACACTATGTGTGTATAATGGTTTACTGGCTTAGAAACAATTACTCTTTGAAGTGTAAAATATGGAAGTGTAAAATATGGTGAATGGAAATAAACCCAGCTGGTAACCAGTCACAAGTGCTGTTCCCCAGGGATCAGTATCGAGGCCCATGCTGTTTAATATCTTTATTGATGGTGTGGATAAGGGAATTGAGTGCACCCTCAGCAAGTTTGCAGATAACACCAAGTTGGGATGAAGTGACCATCTGCCTTGGAGTGGGAAGGACCTACAAAAGGATCTGGACAGGCTAGATCAATGGGATGAGGCCAAGAGGATGAAGTTCAACAAGACTGAGTACCAAGAGCTGCACTTTAGCCACAGCAACCCCTAGCAATGCTACAGACTTGAAGCGGAGTGGCTGGAAAGCTGCGTGATGGAAAAGGATCTGGGAGTGTTGGCTGATGCTCAGCTAATTGTGAGCCAGCAGTGTGCCTAGGCAGCCAAGAAGGCCAATGGCATCCTGGCTTGTATCAGAAATAGTGTTTGGGCCTCTCACTGCAAGAAAGACATGGAGGCCCTGGAGTGTGTTCAAAGAAGGGCAACAAAGCTGTGAGGGGTCTGGAGCACAAGCCTTATGAGGAGTGCCTGAGGTAATTGGGATTGTTCAGTCTGGAGAAGAGGAGACTCAGGGGAGACCTTATTATTCTCTACAACTGCCTGAAGGGAGTTGTGGTAAGGTACAAGTTGGCTTTTTCTCCCACTTAAGTAGTGATAGGGCTAGAGGGAATGGCTTCAAGTTGTGTCAGGGGAAGTTCATTTTGGATGTTAGGAAATATTTCTCCTCCAAAAGAGTGGTCAAATGTTGAAACTGGCTGCCCAGGGAGTGGTGAAGTCACCTTCCCTGGAGGTGTTCAAGAAACATTTAGATATTGTAATAAGGGACATAGTTTAGTGGGAAAATATTGGTGGTAGGTGAATGATTGGACTTAATGATCTCGGAGGTCTTTTCTAACCTTAATGATTCTACAATTCTATATTTCTTACCATTGGTAACCTTACCTCTTTTAGTTCTTCATATGTTATTGTCATAACATTTTCATCAGCAGCATATTTGTTCCATTCAGAAAGGTAATTGAAGTAGGATCCCCAGGGCACTAAATAAAACAAAATAATCCTAAAATGAAGAATAACCGAACATAAGAAAAGCTCCTTATTATATTAATCAATTTTTACTCCGTAAGTTGATCCCTAAGCCACAGCCATTAGTAATCACGGCTCTGCCAGAGTTTAACCCATTCTGGAAGATTTATAGATCTTTGCAACACAGACAGTCTAGAGTCAGCAGGGTAAGTTCTCTTACCAGCTCAATGTGGCTCTAAAGGATCTGTCACCTTCCCTAAAGGATCTGCCTGCTACTTCCACTTGTGCTGCAAAAAATATGGGGTCCAATCCCTTTTTCACCTGTATTGCAGGACCTCTTTTTAGGCTAGATCAGCTCCCTAGATGGTCCACAACTTCACAAACAGTTGTGCTGGAACAAGCTGAGGGCAACAGTGGGGCGGAAGCACATTGTTGGGATCAAAGGCTGGCTATGGCCAGTACCCACAATAAAAACTAAGAAGCCAAGGAAAAGTCTGCAGAAGCCCAGCTTAGCTGGCTCTGCGTGAACGCATCTCAGTGAGATGATGCAATTTGAATGACAATATGTTGAAACTAGTCAGTATTTCAAGTCAAATGTGAGTCTGCTGAAGTGCTATCAATACTCAAAACAGCATGGAAACTTAACCCTAAAACCTTAATTCGAAAGCCTTATTTAACCCTCCCTTCTGCTGACCATGCGATATGGCAACCTGGAGAATTTATGTAATTATAAAAGCAATGAGATTTGTTTTCTGTTCTTTTGTTGTTGTTTTTTTTTAAGCATTTAGTCATAGTCCAAAACATTTCTCCAATCCAATTTGGTATGTAGATATTCAAATGTCTGTCTGGGCACAAGATGATATACAGTGGAGGGGAAGGGTGAAGGAGATCCAAGAGGAAGATAAGAAGGAACTTCTAGTCAAAATATCACTTTGTGCAAATTAAAGCTATTTATGGAAGAACACTTCTGATGAATATCAAACTTCAGCCAGTAAGACAGATACCATAAAATTTACTTCAGCTTTCTAATTTTCTCTCTTTAATCCCCGGGGTTTTTTTTGTTGTTGTTGTTGGTTTTTTTTTTTTGTTTTTTTTTTTGCTGTAAGCCAAAAATCCTAGTGAACCTGATTTTACAAAACGCAAAGTTTTTAGATAAAGTCAAGGAATAGAATAAGTAACATAGAAGAATATACTGTACTTTTCTCTGCCATGAAAGCTACGAAGAAATCGTCCCAGGTCTCATAGGAAGGTAGAGCTGACAAGGCATTGGAAAAATGGAAAAACGATGTAGCTACGTCTTTCGGATTGCGAATCAGTAGCAATATCTAAAAAATTGAAATATTTTATTTCTACTGGAAACAAAAGCAATAAAAAACTTCATAATCAGCACTTTATGAAGTTGATTTCATATAGTTATTAGGATATACTTTCCAGATTAATCAAATTAATCATGCAGAATACAAATAGTATTAATCATTTAGATGAATACACACAAATACAAATTCTTTCTGAAACTTTCGACAACATTGTAGAAAGCCACTCAGGAAATTTTGTAAACATAGCGTTTTACTGCTGGAAGGTTTGTTTTCCCCCACGTTTGCCTTGCTGAGACTGACGCAAAGATATCAATAAGGATGAACTGAGATTTATTGAGATGAACAGAAGCTGTTAGACATGCAAAAAAAGACAGCATACTACCTAAGTATAAAAATAATTTTTAAATTTGGCAGAAATGTACTAAATTGGCTTTCACAGACATCTGATTGTGTGTTTCCTTACATGACATTTAAATCAGCACTCACCTTGGCTTTATTTTTGAAGATAGACTTTGGAAGGTTGCCAGGAGCAAGATGAGTCAATATAACCCTTCGAGAAGGTAACTTCTTCATTCGCTGCATTAACAATTGAAAGGAGGAAAGTAGACAGTGCCTTTATTACAAGTATTCTTCTTCATTGGCCTGTGATAAAATATTACTTTGCAAAATTTATTAACGGCTTTTGGCAGATCAATTATGTTTTATGATTGCTATCCTGGGATCTTAGTGGACTTCTCTCAGCAATAACCTTCAAAAGACCATAAGGATGAATATTTGGAAAGAAGGTTATCCATTGCTCATTCTCTTTAGTGTTAAGGAATTTAATATGTTCTGATAGACAAGGTATAAAACCTAAATGTAATATGCAGAATCTAGCTGGAGATGTGATTAAGCTGAAGGATCCAAAGAAGAGAGTAGAGGTAATAAATAAGAGGTAGTAGAAGATCCGAAAATCATTATTTCAATATATAGTTTTTCATGAAACTCTTCTTAAGTACAGATTATGTGACACTGAATTTCTGAAGTGTCTGTATTTCTAATGAGTATGTGCTCCTCTCAAGCCCCCTAGAGCGATCATTTATCCTTCAGCATTCAGTAATGCAGATGAGATTCAGTCTGGCCAGATGCATCCTACATAGAAATGGGATAGTTTCCATCAAAGACTGCAGTATTTCTCAAACCACATATTCAAATATTCAGTGTTTGAAGAACCACATTCTTGCATCTTTAATAATTATTCTGTGCCCACCTCATATTTCTCAGTATCTCCAATTTCAAGATACGGAAATTCTTCTAGCTCTTCATCATTAACACTTTTTTCTTCATCAAGTCTCTTTTTTTCAAATGTGGCCACCAGATCACTTAAAATCTGACCTACCCAGTTTGTACCTGAAAGGGGGAAAAATACAGAATTGCATGTAAAGCATTGAGAAAAAGCATAAATCAATTTGCAAGGACAACCAAGAGGTAGCTGGTAACTATCTCATGAATTGTCTGGTCTTCTTTAACATGTCAGCTGGCTATCTGGACAATCAGCCTTCAGGGCCCTCCATTTGTTGTTACGTAACAATACATATCTTTCACCAACTTAAATGACTAAGTACATCACGGATTATATATTATAAGTAAGAAAGGAGTAGAACTATTGATTCAAGTAAGAAATATAAGAGCAGATAGGGTGTAAACCTGTACCTCAAAACCCAGTGCATCATATATGTTTTCTGATGTGCTGTACAGTTTTATCTTGAGTAGAAAGATGGGTCACAGAACTTCAGCACTTCAGCACATACCAGATCTGAAACTGTGCTCTGTATGCTCATTTTCTTTACCAATACACAGTGTTTTATCCAGAAAACCTCTAAATTATTTCGTATATATTTATTGTATTCTTATTAATAACATAAAATAGAGCTTGTTGAGAACTTGTATGATTAGCTTACCATTTCCTGACCTGTGGACACTGGTTCCTACATCTTTATCATTATAGTCCTAATAAGTGCATTTTGATGCATATCATTTCTTCAAAAAGAACATAGGCCTTAAAAAAACACAAAATCTTTACAAACCTGTAAACTGTGACTATCTTCTGTAAGATGCAGTGAATCCTATTGCTAAAGGGTAAATATAACTATATTAAAATGGATGTGTAACACATCCAAGAGCCTGTGTAGGATACTTTCAGGCAGAAGCAGCAGCTCCATCAGAGATCTCTTGATTTCCCAATGAAGATCAGTGTGACTAATTCCAGCGTTTACAAAAATGTCTTTTTTATAACAATAGATTTCAGAAAATTTTGACATGTATATGAAAATCAAAAAGTAAAATATATGTATCATTGCATGTGAAGGCACCAATAAGTCCATTATATTAAGAAATACAAAACTATTACCAACAATATTACGTAACTGCAAGAACAGACCCTGCAATATCAAGAAATCTAGTTATCTCAAGTTTGAGAATTGCATTTTGATTCTTTCCAATTTGTGCATTCACATTCATAACTATAAAAATTAAAGATAATAAAAATGTACCACACTATAGCCAAGAAAATCGGATTTCTCAGTCACTTGCAAAATTTCCTATATAATGTTCTCATAATTAGCTCTATTGTATATGTTTGAGGAAAAAATTAGTTCTGGAAACTTTTCTGAAAACTGTAAATACAATCTACTTATTTGTTATTACACAAATCAATTAATGAAGAAAGCAAGCAGTATTCACCAGATTTAGGATATCCTGCCAAAATGACATCATCACTTCTGGCTTCAAAGGACTCCATGGCTCTGAACACTTCAAGACTGCAAAAAGCAACAGGGTAGAGAATTCCCTTGTAAGAAAAAAGTAGTTCATCACGGTCCATTGCATTACCAGCAACTATTGCCTTATCTATCACATCAATAAATTTCTTCCTAGATTTTTCCATTCTTCTCTCTCATGCACAATCTCTGTCACAATGTGAAATGCTACACAGACAGAGAGACACCAGTTGCCACATTACGAGGCTTTTTCTTTTCTTTGTATTTTCTTTGTGGAGGGGGTGGAGGGGGGTGGGACACTGTAAGCAATAATTTACTACTCTTTCTGAAACTGTAAAAAAAAAAAATACATAACTCCAGACAAAGACCTTAAGTGATCTGAACATCTCAGTATCAACAGAAATTGGATATAATTGAATAAGAGAAACAGAAAAATGTAGTTGCATCCTAGGTTAAAGCATTAATCTAACTTGAAAATATCACATACCAAAAATATGCAAGTAATTACAGCACAGAGTTGACAAACAAAATACATCAAAATTCAAGAAGGGCATGAATTACAGACTTCAGTTTCAATAACACAAGCATATTCTTTGCATCTGTTCTGATCTTTTCAGTATTCACTCTGGGATGTTTTCTTTTTTTCTTTTTTTCCATAGAAAGTGGATCAAATGTATTAGGACTGGGAGACAAAATATTCATTATATTAGTGAATGCATTAGCAGCTAGTCTTTTTTTTTTTTTTTTTTCTTTCTTTACTTTTCCTTGTCATGAAACATGTACTAGCATTATGGAAATGTGTTTAATTGGGATATTTACTTGCTGGCTAAAGAAGGGTTGGGAGAGTAGGCATTTCCTAAGGAAGGAAAAAAAAAAAGATATATAAATGGATTCTTCCACTCAAGCCAATAGCATTGCTGGACTAGGCTTTCCATAAAAGAAATACAGATCAGTTACTTCCTGAAGAATTATCTAGAGAAATTTTGAAAGAGAAAAGTCTATTGGATCTCCAATGTATTTTTCCCAGAGAAAGAAGTTAGGCCAGCCTTTCCCTGGAGACATGCATTCTCCTTAGGAACCAGAAAAACAGTATTACTGAAGAAAAACTAATTAGAAGAAATAAGTCATGTGGAGGGATTTTGAGAAGAATTGAATTTCTTGGCATAAAAAATGAATCAGGCTTAATATTAGTAATGTGAGCTTTTGATATAGCCACCAACCATGACACCATAACTGAGAGAACAGGAGTGAACTTTGCACTGTATGTGTTGCATAAGAAAGACCCTCTGATCCTGCCAAATGCTGAATCAGGAGACTGATGGAAAACATCAGTTGGTTTAAAGTTTCAAAGAAGCAGCTTTTAAAACATGGAGATTAAAAAGAGATTAAAGGATTTGGTAATCTCCAGATTAACGGTGTCTGTTGGTCAAGCCACCAATGTGTCTCTAAATGTTTCTCATTTCCCGTACTTATCAGACCTGGTCTTTCCAGATTGTGGAGTTTTGCAGAAAGAGGCTGGTGACTTTGCCATGATAGCTACAGAACACTGCCAGCTGTCAATTACCTGGTGAGATGATCTGTTTATGAAGAGCCATTCCCAGTTAATGAAACAACGAAACAATCCCAAACATAGCCTCAGAATTCAGAGACTGTCCCCTCAGATGGCATATGAGAAAAGATAGGTTTCCATAACTATCTCTGTGATCTGCATTTATCTCATTAAGATGCTGGAAAAGTCTTCAAAAACAGCTTTCCAAAGTGATCTAAAATGGATCTTGATCCACTCATTATAGTACTCTAAAAATATATATAATATTGAATAGAGAGATGAAAAAGAAATCCTCAGTACAAGATACAGGTTCATATTCTTCACTGCTCTAAACGCTGTTCAAGCTTGGGTGTAATCCTCCGTAAAATTATTGATGATCCTCCTTCATCTTTTGCTTTCTTCCTGAACTGTACAGTCTCCTTCATGACAGTCACCTCCCCTGGCCAGAACAAAGCTAGTCCCACCATCAGGTTAGATGACCACCCCTAGTCTGTAAATTAATACCCAGCTCTGTCTTTCCCATATGTCCCATCTAAGCTTTCACAGCTTTTTTTTCAGCCTCAGCTTTGTTGTCTCTGAAGAATTTTCACTGTCTTAATCTCCTCTCTGGAACAAGGTAGGAAATAAGTAATTTTCCACATCTTTCATCATTCTTATTAATGCACGGGCTAGCTGCCAAAGTACAGATGCAAGCTTGACTTCTCCCTCCTGTTAATGCTCCACTAAGTAATGAGAAAGAACATGCCAGCAAATACAAAGAATTGCGTGACACACTGTGCTGGAGAAACTGTCTTCTTGTACTATCTAAACATGTTAGCTGTATGTTAACAGACTTCTCAAACCACCACCAAAAGAGATTTTGTTTGTTTTGTCTGATCATCACAAATATTGGTGAAATGAACTTAAAAAATATATGTAGGAGAACATTAACTAGAACTTTATCACCACATAAACGTGTAGAAGTGGGAGACTGAAAAATGATCCAATTCACAGTGTTGGTCAAACAGTAACTTATTGCATCATCGTGTATCAGTACAACCTGACCTTAAATGTAAAAGAGGAAGAGGAAAAAACGGGCAGGAGGGGACAAAGAAGAATGTTGAGCCCTTTACAAAGCATTCCACAATATTTTGGAGGATTTTCTGATTTTTGCTAATGCACTAAATGTTCTGTTTTCTGCAAACCTTTCATTAATCTCACTATGGTCAATACCTCTGAAACAGTCAGACTTCTGGGGTCTTTAGTATAGAAGTAATTATGTCATACAGTGTGTAATGAGTTGATACAAATGAGGCTAAGCATATAACGCAAATGTAATTGATGTTAAGTAGAGCTGATTAAGGATGTATCTTGAAACAGGATACTCAGATGCCCACAAAAAAAAAAAAAAAAAAAAAAAAAAAAAAAAAAAAAAAAAAAAATAGAACTGCCACAGTTCACAGGGGGGAAAAAAATAAAAAATTCCAGTATATGAACTGGATCACAAATCAGGATGTCAAAGCAAACATAATATGCTCAGTGGAACACATGAGACATAAATGTATATATCCCTATGGGAGCTGGAAGTATGCAGTTTGGGTCTTAAACATAAAGTCAAAATTTTATGTTTTCACAATTTTTTGCCTAAATATCATATTTTAACTGTTTCATGTGTTGCCTTCTTTTTCACTTAATTTATCAAAGACATTTAGTTTTCTTCAAATATTGTAGCATCAGAACTAAAAAGCAAAATGAACTATAGAACATTTTTCTGTGATTTGTTTCAGAACATGTTTCACCACGGATTTTGCTGAGTCCCAGTCATGATACTGTAAATTAATCCTTCAGAAAGTTTAAGATGAACTGCCAGTGCATAAGCTAATCCAGACACTGAATACCTTGCCACCAGGACAACTTGGGCATTTGCCCATAGTTCATCCTATTTACTCTTGGCCCGTTCTCTAGCATATTCTTTATCCTTTCTTTGTTCTCAAAGGACTGAGCTGACCGCACTCCATGTTTTGTGTTCTGGAGGAGGATGAGGACTGCGATGTACTACTGGAAGAGAGGTTGGGAAATGGAGGGTTATCAGTTTGCATCCATAGCCTCCTATCCTCATAGAGATTAGTACAGGTGTGAGAAGCTGATGTAGCGGATAGCAGGGGAAACAATAATTTGGGTATCAGTTCTCTAGAAATACTCTCTTCACAATTATCTGTGCCATTTTAGCCCAACTAATGGTTATTAAGATTAATGATATTTAGTGAAGGAATAACAGTTAAAAGCTCAAATACATCATTTAGTGATAAATACTTTTTTGATGCTTTCGTGGTGATCTTACCAGCATAACTCTTTTTGTAAGTGTCACACCTAACAAATCCTGAGAAAACATGAGATGTCTATAAGCAGAGCTTCTCCAGATGTTTGCTCTGCATTTCATAGTACCCAAAGCTACAGGGACAGAGTCTAATATTCTGACCATATATAGAGATAACTACACATCAAACAAATAGAGGTGCTGACATGTTAAGGGCTTTTATCTTCCCTGATCAGAAGTCAGTGAAAAAAAATCCACTGATTTCTATCATACTCGGATGAGAATTTAATTATGGCAGACACCATTCTGCTGGGAAGTGGTCTGATTTGATATGGTCTTTATAAGGGCTTCCAGGTGCCAAATGGCCCTTAGCCTTCTAGAGACATGGAAGAGAATTTCGCAATAGGAGAGGAAAGAGAATATTTCTTTAACATGGAATATAGTGAAGCATGGCCATCAGAATCCTCTGTATGCGATCAGTTAAAATACTGCCCAGTAAACACACTGTTTAGCACATAATGTTCAGCATTAAAATCTGGTACACACTATAAACACTGCAATGACAGGTGTAGTCTGAATACTATTGCAGTTGTCTGCAACCTTGACCTTTCTCTGAAGTATTATGGAACAGCAATTCTGATCAGAGTTCAAGAATTGATTACCAGCTCTGTTTGTCTTTCAGGCTTCGCAATACACACTGTATTTTAACCTTGTTCCAGAAGTGGTTGCTGCAAGCAGTCCACTGAACATTTGCCAATTTACAATCTATGCTTTTCCTTTAAAAGATTCCTGTAGTCACTAGTGCTGCGTAAAAGAAGCAGTACCGACCCAGGTTTTACTATTCAATATAGATATTTTCATAGGAAACAACATATCTTTCTACACGACAAGTGAGGTGAGGGGTATTTTTTATTTCGGTTTGGTTTTGTTTTTGTGGGTTTTTTTTTTTCAAGACAGATGTTTTACCTTTTTTTATATTATTAGTGGATGTGATTTCTTTTGAAGCCTGAGCAATTCTGCCAGACTACAGGGGGCCCCTTGGTGAGGTGAATATCAGCTCTCTGCTTCACTTATCCAGCAGGTTGTCCAAGGCTCTGGGATGAGTGGCTACAGATCAACTCCTGGGTTGTGACATGGGTGAAATAAAGTTGACTAGCCTGCTTTTTGATCACCTTAATACACTAACTGGACAGTAGCTGTACTTCGGGAACTCTTTATCAACTAGCTAGTTACTCTTGCCATAGTCTATATCTCTAGATTTACTTCAGTATAAGATGGCAATGACACTTTGGAGAAAAAGGCTTACAGATGTCATCTAATACATGGGTGTCCAGCCTTTCGTTTTGCTTGAGCCACACTGAGTGAACCTCAGTGGGCCTCATACTCAAGACTGCTCTGAAAGTAATGCCTCCTATTTAGTCCCATGGAAACTAAAACTTATACAGAGCACAATAACGCTATTTGATAGAACAAAATCTCAGCTACAAAACACTAACTTTCAAGATAGTCACCACCATTAGCTATGTATTTTTACCAGCAATGAACAAGAGCCTGCATGTTGTGCTCATAAAAATCCATACCAGCAAAGGTGACCCACTGTCATCGTCACTGCTGCTGAAATGCACCACTATCTCACTGCACTCACATCTGCTGTTCAGTTTCCATAAACACTCACAAACATTGATGAATGTCAGTGGGTGCCATTTTTTCTGCATGGAGGAATTCAGTGACACACCTTTGTCTCATCAGCACTTCTGTGCCAGATAGTTTTTTCAGATTGCCCCTCCACTGCCGTCTGTCTCACAGCAACAAAATGTAATGGGATATTGGTGGGAAGGTTCAACCTCTACTTCCATGCCACCAACATTCACCACTGATACCATGGCCAACATAATAATATAGCAGGCATTACTTTCAGAGCAGCCCTCATAAAATATATAATATGTTAATGCATATAAGTAACAAAACTTATTTTAAAATTTAATATTTTTTTAGTTTAAAAAAAAAAAAAAGAAAGCAACAAAAACACAGAACTAGTGGGATGTGTGAATCTGTTTCTGTGAAACTAATGTGTCATTCTGGTTCGATGGCAGTGGCTGCAATTCTTAGTGAGTTCTCAATGTGTTCCATCAGAAATTTTTTGATGAAATTTTACTCCTCCTGTACTTCATCCATTAAAATATTTGTTCAAAAATGTTCTGCCAAAAAGCGGTGACATGAATGAGGTGTGACTGTGAAGAGAGGGATATATCCCTCCGCTAAGATACAGCTTATAAAAAGTAAAGAGACACAATCAGAATTTTGAGTAGAATGACTGATTGCAACTTCATACATTCCATATGAAAATTTGCAGGTCACATATTTATGTTGACTGAAAATGGAGTTGCAAATACACAAAAAGAAAAGATAGTTTTTTTGGCAATTTTGAAACCTGTTCTCAAATTCCTTTATCAAAATGAAAAGCATGGCTGAGTACTCTTTTCTGTTCACGGGACAGTGTTCAGCCAACAAATCAAAATGCATATAACTATTCATTATAACTTGACTTAGCATTGCACTCTCCCCACGCCCTGGTTGCAGCTCAGACAGTGTTAACAGGTCACTGATGTTTTGTTGCTACTGAGCAGTGGGTGCACCCCTGGGGCAGGGCCACAGTGGCAGAAGGGGCAGATGGCATGGGGCAGCAGCTGGGCTGCACTGCCAGCAGTACCAAGCTGCATGCTGCCCACAGGTTTGACATGCCTGATATAGTATCTGGTTTTGCTGCAGTAGGATGAGATCCCATTTCCTCTTTGCTGCAAAGGAGGAAAGGAATCACTGCCCTATCACCAGCTCTCTGGTTCACTCTGACTCAGGTTATCTGAATTTGGTGAATCTGATGCACAGTTTCAAAAGAGCAAAGGCGTGCAGAAAGCTGTGTGCTAAGCCAGTTCCAAGACAGTTACGAATTAATTATTTCTTAAAGTTAGAAAGCCTATTGAATGGATTCTTCATCATTGGGAATATTCAGCTAATACTTATGAAACAAAAACTAAATTTCTCCTTCCTTGCTTTTGACAGGAACGCTGAGATTGTCTTTAAAATGACTGAAAAATTCACTTTAATGTAAGAGAACACTACCAAATGCCTCATGGTTGCCTTAGAGTTCTTCATAGATTAGAAGCTGCTCCTCTGTACAGCAACACAAAAGCGATCCTTGCTGGTCCTTTCCAACTCAGAATATTCTGTGATTCTGTTCTATGATTATCCTTAAATATGCTATTATTAAATGTCAGAAATAGTTTTACATTTGAAAATAATGAGGATATACTCTTCAATAGCCTAAAGCTATGGTGAGTAGTGAAGGCTCTCTTACAAAGTCCAGAGTACACCTTCACAATCCAGCTGAGCTGGATGAACTGCAAGAGAGGTCCTCAGAATTGGGATTAGGTTAGCCAATCTGAGAGCAACTCCATTTGATGGCAGATAGCCTGAACATACATTGCAGTGTCACTGAGCGTCAGACCAGCAGGCTCAGATGGAAGAAGCAGATCAATGGGCTCTAAGAAGAGTGCACATCTGTGCCTTTTCAGACATTTTCTTTTTCATGAAAAATAAAATCAGAACAATTAGTCAACATTTTATTGCCACTTAGGGTCTCAGCAAGGCATGGAAACATACTGGCAGGTTTGATATACAAGGATGGGCTAAGTACATCCAAAGTACTTTGATCCCAAAGGTAAAATAAAATGTTTACTTTTTATAACCATAGATCTATAAATAACTTTTTACATTAATGAGCTAATAATTCTACTGTTCCAGCTGTAACACAAAGGAAGATGTTCCATGCTACAAGAAAGAGTAGCTTAGTTCTAGCTTCATCTTAAAAGCATTTAACCAGCTCAAGCAAATCCCTGCTGCATGATGATGTGGTACTGAAAGCTGAAGAGCTTTCAGAGGGCACAAACAAGCTTTAAGGTCACAGACTGTTAGGGACATGGAGACTGTTTTGAGGAATTATTTTTATACAATGGATATTCCTTCTTGTTACACTCTCTTGTTCACAAGGCACAATTAAATATACCTTTAGCCTGATTTAGGATGGAACACTAGAATCTCATATTCTTTAAAGACTTCATTTTAACTTGGAC